GATCTAGTCTATACTTGTTTGCTGCGCGCATAGCATAGTAATTCTAGGCTAATAATTGGTTTAAGAACACGTAACGTTTTCAAAATTGGATATCACGGTTAATAGAGGCCGGTCTTCGGACCGGGCGAAAGGGGGTGCTCATAGTTGACCTTCCCCAATCGTACCCTAGCTCCCGAGCCGAGACAACTCCGGTGATGACGGACATGTGGCCTTCGGCACCGAGTCAGGGTTTCCTAAATTTCCCCATTAAAAAATATTTATGTGGCGACTCTGTATCTGGCAAAACAGTCCATGTTTGGCACTTCTTTTCAAAAAATCTGTTTCTCAAAACGATTTGCCGAATTTGGACTCTTTGGTTCAAGATTAAGAACCGCGACAACAAATCGAGTCCGAACTGTAGCGAAGGCCCCACGCGGGCGCGTCTACACCCCTAATATTTTAAAACTTGTTTCTTTTACTATATTACCCTCATATCTATCAGTTCTCCTATTAAGTCATCTTCACTATATATTTCAGAGTAAACTTTTACTCTGTATGAAAGTAAAATTTTACTCTGTATAAAAGTAAAATTTTACATCCTGAAACTAAAAGTAAAATTTTACTCTGTATGAAAGTAAAATTTTACATTCTGAAACTAAAAGTAAAATTTTACTCTGTATGAAAGTAAAATTTTACTCTGTATAAAAGTAAAATTTTACACTCTGAAACTAAAAGTAAAATTTTACTCTGTATAAAAGTAAAATTTTACTCTGAAAAATGAGTAAAATGTTAGACTATACGCAAAAGTAAAATTTTACTCTGTATAAAAGTAAAATTTTACTCTGATTCTGTCAAATGAAAAAAACAGAGCAATAGAACCAGAGTAAAATTTTACTCTGGTTCTGTCAAATGAAATTAGATACAAAACAACAAAAATAAATAAAAAATAAACAAACAAACAAAAATAAAACAAATTAATCAACAAATCAACATATCTAATTGAGAAGAAAAACTTCTAAAACTCGATCAACAATCACAAATCTCAGTGAAAAGAATACATGTGTTCAACAACACTCATACACACAAATATATATATATATATATATATACACATTCAAAACTCAAATCTGTGTTTAAAAAAATATGTATAACCAAACAACTCCACCAAACATGCCTCAATTTAGAGACGATCTGTTTCTCCTTGTAGACGATCTCCTTCGATTCCGGCACCGGAGGACAAATTTCCGGCCCGTAGTTGATTTCATTCTCGATGTTCTTGATGAGTTCATCGTAGAGATCAGTTTCGGCATTATTGATCGCTGGAGTTTCGCCTGATAACTGACCGGACTTGGCTAGGAGAGTGATGACGATGACGTTGCTATCATCGCCGAAGAAGAGGTGTTCCAACAACTGAGGTGGTCTCTTACATGGCTATGAAGAGAAGCTGCATTTAAAGGGAGAGGGGAGAGATAGAGAAGGTGGGGAGAAAATGGGTGGAGAAGGTGGGAAAATTTAGTTGAGGGTATAATAGTCTAATAAAATATTTAAATTATAAATTTTGTCCTTTATGCAAGACTTTATAATTATGAGGAAATTTAAAAAGTATAATTTTTTTCTTAATCTTTTTAACAATAAAAAGAAGGCAAAGGGGGTTTATAGTCAAATTTCCCATAAATTTTTGGTGACAAATTTGGTCTCAGCTGATCATCTGCCGCTCTGGCGTTCACTCACGGCCTTTCACGTACGTCTGACACTTACATTTATCAATCTTCATTAATTGATTTCATGGTGTTATATTATAAACCAACAGCGATAGTTTAGGGTTTTAGGTTTGCGATTCGTTTGTGTTGATTCAGCGACTGTTTGTTTGGTTATGTTTCTCATCTTTCCAAATGTTCTAATATTTTGCAAAAACCGGAAACACAATATCCAAGAGGTGAAACCTTGTTTATACGCTACAAAATGGAAAGTAATTTGCTTGTCAAATTTAATGTGTTGAGACAATTTCAAACGGTTATAAGGTGCTCTTCACCATTTGGTGTGTTCTAATCATGTTTATTTCTGAAGATCATGCCAAGAATCATCGTGGTACAGAGTTCCTTTTTTAATTAAAAAAAGATAACATTTTTTTGAATTTTTGTAAAATTTTATATTGTTTGCATTGTTTTCCCTTTTTGTTGGGTGATTGGTAAGTTGATAGAATGGCTGTATTGAGTAAAAAACTGATATGAATGGTGGGTTTGTTTTTGTTGAGATTATGTTACGAGTATACTGTAATACTTATCTTGATGATGGTAATTCAGGCATTGTCATGTTGAGGCTTTCTTGTGAGTGCTTATGGCTTACTCTGATGTACTGAGATTCTTGTTGGCGGCTGTTATTTGGTGTGGAACATATGCTTTTGTTGCTGCTATTTGGGTTTTCCAAGATATCTTCCGTACTTCCATTTTGAATTGGTAGAGAATTTTTTTTAAGGCTATCATGGGTTACGCGCAGCTAGTTATTCGCCCTGCTGGAAGTGGGAAGGTGAGTGTTTAAATTTGTCATTTATTGATTATCTTAGCTGCATAGCATTTTGTTTATGTTCTTAATTACCCTATAAAATGGAGATTTTGTAAGACTAATGTTTCTCTTGGTTTGATGATGGTCATTTAACAAGAATGCTTTATTTATTATTATATTTTAATTTTTTCAATGTATATTTTTTTTCATGATTTGGTCACTCACCAGTCTACATATTGCTCTAGTCTGTACAAACATTGCGAAACTATGAGGAGAACAAATCATATTGTGAACTTAGATCCTGCTGCTGAAAGTTTCGATTATCCTGTTACCATGGGTAAATAGATATCACTTTCTGTTTGAGTTCTTAGTTGCGCTATTAATTTATTTTTTTCCCTTGGTCTTAGAGCAATGAAGCATGGTTTTTCTTGCAGATATCAGGGAACTCATTTCTTTGGATGATGTTATGGGGGAGCTTGGACTTGGTCCAAACAGTGGCCTTATCTACTGCATGGAGTATCCTTTAAATTTGAGTTTTGTATTTTCCCAAATTTGTTGTTCATTCTTCTTAAATTATGTTGTTATTGTTACCCATTTGTACTAGGGATCACTGATTATGTCTAGAAACATGAGGCCATTGACTGATATCCCATTAGAGAGAAAAATTTCACTTTATTATGTAAAGAACTTTTGTTTTTCCTTTGTGCTTTGATTGTTGGATTCCAATTTTGTATGGCCTTAAATCTCCACACGAGGCACCTTGAAGAAAATTTGGATGATTGGCTAACTGAAGAATTGGATAACTACTTGGACGATGATTATTTAGTTTTTGACTGCCCAGGTATTTTAATTTATACTCATTATTGTAACTTCTACTTTTTTGCCTCCCCCTTTTCAGTTGTTTTTATAATTTAAAAAATTGAAAACAACATGAATAGAAACTGGTGCAAGGAGTTGTCTGTGTTTTGTGAAAAACTGAGTGCATGTTAGCAGACGTTAGCAACTAAAAGTGGTGTTGAAGCATGTAGGAAGACTTGAACAGTTGAACCTTGCTGGTATAAAACATTGCACCTGAGATATGGATAACATCCTTTTTCTGCATAAATCAAAATTGCAGCCGACAAATGGTTCAAACTAGTCAATATTCAAGTTAACTAAGTCAAAATGCAAAGCTCCAACATAGACTTATTACTTGTTATTTGTTTGATGTTAAACAAGGTAAGACGGTTGAAAACTCATTTAAGGATTCATTGAGCGTACACAAATATAAAGGGCTGTGAAACCTTGGCTTTCTTTCTTCTAGCTAATGGCTGTCAACTCTCTTTCTCTCTCTCATCATAAATTATTCTTTAAAGATTTTTTTCTTTCTTCTTACCTCATGGAGGGTTTATATGTGAAGAGCACTCGCTTCTATTTAGTTATGTACTGACAAAACCTAAAGAATTGCTACACAAGATTTCATCTATATTTTGAATGTTTCTGGCTACTCTATACTGATGACCAAATAAGGGTATTGGTTTAATTACAGTTGATTAACTCATGTAAACACACACACACACACAGATGTGTACATATAACTGTTTATATGTAACTTCCCGAAAGAGGAATTTATTTTTGAACTTCTTCTATAATAAATATTAATCCTATTGATAGCTGCTCCTGTGCTACTTTTTATTTATCTATTTAATTTGGTAATGGGGTGTTTTTGGTAAAAACAACGTAACTTCCAAACTCATATATTCCATTTGGTGTTTATATAGTGTGAATGTGTTGACTGTTGAGGCACTATATTTGATTATATAATTGAGTGGATTATGTTTTAATCTTTGAAATTCATTTATTTTATAGGCCAGATGGAACTTTTTTCACACATTCCTGTCCTTAAAAATTTTGTGGAACATTTAAAGCGCAAGAACTTCAATGTTTGTGTTGAGTATTTGCTTGATTCACAGGTTTGTATCAGTTTTTTTCCACCTTTTTTAAAATTATTTCACCATTGGCTTTGCCCTTGTATCTACGGAAACTGAATAGTTTTAATTTCTTTCTGTATGTTAGTTCGTGACTGATGTGACAAAGTTTATAAGTGGTTGCATGGCTTCACTTTCTGCAATGGTCCAAATTGAGGTACCCCATGTCAATATTCTCTCCAAAATGGACCTCGTGACAAACAAAAGAACCATTGAAGAGTGGGTCCTTGACATTTAATAACTGTTTCTACTTGTGTATCTTCATCTTACTATATATGATCATGCTTGTATGTTTATTGTTGATAGTTACTTGAATCCAGAGCCTCGAGTTTTGCTGTCACAGTTGAATCAACGCATGGCTCCACAATTTGAAAAACTTAACAAAGCTTTGATTGAATTGGTGAGTCATTAAGCAGCCCGAATATACATTGAGTATTGGTTCTCATTTCAATAGAAGAATTGGTTCTCATTTCAATCAAGTATTGAATCTTTTTTGTGTGTGTGTGTGTGTGCACGCGCGCGCGCTTCTCTTCTGCTGATATGGTCTAATAAGACTCTTGATGATTGTCAAGAGGTTTCTTTTTTCTATTTTGGCAGTGTCATTGAACAAATGCTCTTCCACGTTAACTTTGGTGTATTCCATTTTGAAATTGCTTAATTTTTAGTTTAATTTCATGAGAATCTGATAATCACTTAACTGCAATATTCATAATGAATATTTATATTTTTGTGTGTGCTTGCACTTGCGTGCAGCCGTAGTCACGTGTGGTTGGTTGGTAACAATGTTTGATACTGTATTGATTTTGTTGTGTGTACTAGCCATCTATTTATTTGATCCCTTATTGAAGTGCAGTTTCTTGTTCTATCACCACCACAATGGATTATTCTATAAATACAATAATTTGTCCTTTATTAAATTTTGTGTATATTGTGATTACCATTATCGTAAGAGCTGTTAATTTTGGCATTAGTGGATAGTACCTAGACATGGCAATCTTCTGATAACCACAGCTCTCTTTATCTTTCTTGGAAGCATTTATTAGTATAGGGAGAATTGCTTCTGTTATTTCTGATTGCTATCAATATTAGTTGTAACAGGTCGATCAATATAGCATGGTAAGATTTGTGCCTCTGGACTCGAGGAAAGAGAGCAGGTACTCTCTCTCTCTCTCTCTGTGCTCCAGTTGTGCAAGGACATGAATTCATAGTCATATGAGTTGCATATTTACAGCAGTGGAACTGCTGATTTCTTGTTTTATATGAATTCATTTATAAAGACTTGAGATTAGGGCCAACAGAGAAGTATATGAAAATATGATTTCTTCGCCCACATTTAAATACACGTTTTTTTTATAAGTATGCAAATGTGGTGTATAGACATCATGAACCACTAGTTCTTTAATGTTGAAAATGGTGTATCGGGTTTCTTGCTTTGGACTTGTTCTGTTGGGGTTCAGACGTTATGGTCAGAACAAACTGTAATGCATGTATCTGTAATTAACCAGAGTTTGGATCATGCTCTTTTTATGAGGCTTTTATGTCCATCAACAGATTCTATGACATTCATTTGTTGAAATTTAGCTTAACAATTTTTCAAAGATTTCTAGCAATTGTCCAGTTGAACAGATCAATTAGGTGGCCGTCTTCGTATCCCCTAGCCATTTCTTTAATCTACTGGTGACAAACAAAAGTCTTCAGAGATGAGCTTACATGGTTATGAATTACATTCTTTTAGAAGTCGGCTTTTTTAGTTCAACTTATTTTTTTGTTTTTAGTGAACTTTTTTTAAAATTTACTCAAATGACTTTACTTCTTAGATTCATCTCATCGACTAGGATGATCTTAAAAATTAAAAAATTAAATTTCTTTTAAAAAAGTTTAGAAACAACAAAATAAACCAATTTTTATAAAATTTGGCTTATTTTCATCTTTAGTGAATTTTCCCCTCCAAAATTGACCCTTTTTTTAAAACTTTTAGAATCGTCTAGTTGAGATAGATCTAAAAGTGAATTTTTTTGACTCAAAGTTGAAAAAAGTTTAGAAAAGACAAATAAGTTGGGCACTCATGTCATTTGATTAACATTGGCATTTTCTATTATTTTCCATTTACAGTATACAATACATCTTGTCACAAATTGACAACTACATTCAGTATGGAGAAGATGCAGATGTAAAAGTTGTGGATTTTGATCCAGAGGAGGATGATTAGGGGTGTTGTATCTTTCGGGTGCTTTGTAGGACACGAGGTATGATACATTTGGAGATTTTTTTGGTCACAACGGCTAAGTTAAGACATTATGTTAACCATTTGAAAGTAGTCTCGTTTTCATTGAGTTTCTTCTACATTAGAATGGCTGATCCGAAGAAATTAAGCATTTCCTTTTTTTTGAAGCCTCTCTCTCTCTCTCTCTTAGGTGCATGGGGGAGGGGTCTATGGATTTTGGGGATTCACTTTTCATTTTAACCATCCTTTCACATCTGGCTTTGCAGATAATCAGAGTTTAATGGTGCTGTAAACTTGGCACTCGGAGAAGTAGGTAGAAATGTAGTTCTCTTAATTTCTACATACTACAATTCAACGACATCAGATATTTTGAAGGATGAAGAGTTGCTGCTATCCTGTATGATATTGTGTTTGAGATGAGCTTGTACTTATTTACACTTAGCTAGAGTAGTAGATGAAACTGCTAATGAGCTTTATAGTAATGATCAGTTTGGATCAATTGAGAACTCGACATGAAATTTATCTCCAAATTACTAGATACTATTAAATTTTCTAATAAATTAAAGCCACCTTTATACAGGTGTAACAGTTTTATGGACAAGCAGAGAGAGAGAGAGGTTGTTTGGTACAATTTATAGATAGTTTGTTTCATTTTCGGAGTGCGTATCAGAATTGGTGCAATTTCTTATTCTTACAGAGATTAGAGGGCTAGTTTTGGTGCAATTTCAAGATAGTAAAATTTAAATACGTTGCAACAAAAATATCTAAAAATTGAGAAAACGATATTTTCACTTTTGGCTTTCTAATTATTTTCATCTCGAGGAAAACTACAGAAAACAGGCTCAAAGAGTCACTCCATAGACAGTTAAACAATCAAACCTGAAAATTATGTAATGCCAAATTGATCTTGTTCAGCCCAAAAAAATGAAAAAATTCAAACAACTGTAGTAATTAAACTTTCTTTAAAAACCGCAGGCCAGTTGAACAAAGCACAATTTGTTCTGTACTGCACATGTTTTTCCATCCCAATAAGAAAATGAGCATGGAATTTACTTTCCCACCTCAATTAATTTTGCTTGGAAATATAAAGAAATTAAAACACTAAAAAATTAACCTCCTATTATTCAACTCTCATTAATACTGCCCCATTACCTCCAATTTTTCCCATCCCATCAAAGGACGACAAAAAACAAAAAAAGAAAGCAAAATGCAAAATGCAAAATGCAAAATGCAAAATGCAAAATGCAAAATGCAAAATGCCCCAGGTTTGGAAAGGAAAAACATGCACATTAGGCTTCTATCATAACATGTCAATTAAAAACAACTAACATTGAGCATTTTTAATGTTATACCAAAGCTACTCAAATCTGTTATGTCCCAAACAATTCAAAGAAACGAGCAAAACCGAAGGTTCCTGAAGTAATTCTCAAAAACAAAGAACACAATGATCACCAAGTTCCTACTGGTGATTTCACTCCTCCTCCTCCTCCTCGTCATCACCATCAGCAGGGGCAGCAGAGTTGAGAGCATTTAACCTCTCTATCAAGCTGGCTTTCCTTTCCTCGTAAGTTAGCTTCTTCAGGTTAAACCTGCAGCGAAAACAAAAACAACCCAAGATTATAAAATAATGATGATTATGTCACTGTGTGAAGACTTCACTTCCAAAAAGTGAATTCCATTTTGGAAATAACATATTATCAGTCACAGCCAAACTTATGGCCAATTTCAGTTGTTTCATTTGGGAAAGGGAAAAACAATAAATCCAACTTTCTTCTATTCTTTAAATCCCATTCAGATAAATTTATCCGAATCCTAATTTGGTCAATCAGAAATCAACATCATATTTTTAAAAAGCAAAAAAATATTCTACTTTAACAGAAAATAGCTTTAAATATGATAAAGCAATGCCATCCAAACCAAGTGTAAAGACACTCCAAATGAAAATGGAAATTGTAAAATTACGAAGGCATCTTCTGAAGAATGTGTGCAGGTAAAACAGTTTTAAGCCATGAAATAAATAACACATCGGATCCAAATGCAGAATTCGGAATATATTATATTTTCGTAAGTAAACAAACTCCAAAGAAATCTCTCCCGTGACCAGTCTAAGAAATGTTCACAAGAATATTAAAATTAAGGATAAATGATGCTTGTTTTAGAAATCATAAGCACAAGAGTCTGGTAAATTGTTTGTATCAATTAACTCACATAAAACCCTCTCTTCAAAAGCATGGCAAATGTGATCAAAATCTTCTCATATAGCAAGTGGAAAAATGTCAGGCAGATAAATGAAAAAATAAAAAAAAGAGGTGGAGAAGAACACAACTGTTGTCGTATATTTCCTTAACATTAAAATGCAATATTACCATTTATTTGTGCTTTGTTCCACTTATTGTAAATCTAAACAAATGGGATTTAAATTTAAATATGCATTATCTTAAGTATGAGGTTTTAGGTAGATAAACAGGACTCAAGCGTAGAAATATTGAATGAACTGGCAGACCACATATCAACTATACAAGAAAGCATTAAATTGTTGATTACCTCTTGTGCTGCTTTGGAGGCTCTTTGACGGATTTCTTTGGGCAGGGATCAGCGCGTATTGCTGCATGAACCTTTTTGTACATCTCCTCTATGCCATCTGGCTCGATACCTCTCTTTATGTATTCGCAAAAGTGAGACTGGTACTTCTCTGGCTCATCTTCCATCAGAGTCTGCATGCCAATTAATAAGATAATAAATTTTAGAGAGAGAGAGAGAGAGAGAGATTGCTCTCTATTTTAACCACAAATCAATACTACGTTCAGCATGATGATAATCCAGTTCTGTGATAATGAGAGAGAGAGAGAGAGATTGCTCTTCATTTTAACCAACAAATCAATACTATGTTCAGCATCGTGATAATCCACTTCTGTAAACATTTAAAAAGTTCAAGCCTCACCGCCATGTATGCAGAAACATGGCCTCCATAGATGTATTTGCGGTGAACCTCAGCATCAAGTTGCTTACTGTCTTTACTGAAACCAGCAAACCTCTTGTCACTGTGAGGAATATCAAGCCCGCCATCTAAGGCTCCCTGAGATCACACGTTGATGCACATCACAGATTAAAGGAGAAATTAGTAAACTCTGTCCAAGAAGGTGGTAAAAATAAAATATAATGAAAGGAAAGGAAAGAAAAACTCTACAAACATATAGTTTGTTGTTTCTTAAATTTTAAAATTTTCTTCAAATTTTGCATTTAACTTTACAACAAGGGGACAATGATACCTTGAGAGCACCAAAAACACGATTTCCAGTGGTCGTTCGTAGAAGGCCAACATCTAGGAGAGCACGGAAAGGCCTTCTGCTCTCTGCTGGTTCAACAGAGTAATCCTCTCCGGTTGCCTGTAAAAATAGTTAATTAAAACTTATTGAAATGAAAAATGTATCAATAAGTTCTTATACAAGCCAGTTACCTCAACATTTCCCTGATACTCATCATCCATCTCGAGCATTTTCAGAACCCGACGGGCCAAGAGAAGTCCGGTGCAGTAAGCTAGGCTCATGGTAGAAACAGTTTACATAAATAAACATGACAGCAACAAAATCAAATTGTCTAACAAGACTTCCACAGATACCTGCAGCATAGTTTGTGAGGCCCACTTCCAGCCCAAAATGAGGTAGTTCATGAGCATAAGCAGCTGCAAGAACCATATCACCAGCAATGGTAGCAGATATAATTTGTGCAATTACATCCTTGTTAGTCTAATACAGTATCAAGGTCATCAAAACCATAAGATTACAAAAATGATTATGTTTACTAACAAAAAAAAAATAAAAAATTCAAGAGACCAGAGGTCAACACTAAAAAGTTCATCAGCTAAACAAATTATGAAATATCATCCATGTCTGCTAGGGTTATTGACATCCATCACTTTAGGCCAATATCCGGTGCTTGAACCACAACTTCCTGTTAAACATGTATGCATCAAGAAGTAATAACCAATCCAAATATTAGAAACAAAGATGAAGAGAAGAAAAATCTAAATATAATTTCTTTCCAAATAAAAAAAGATCTCTGAAACCAGTAATAACAAGGGCTTTACACACTACGTAATTTATAAATGAAGAAGTAAAAGTTTAATGATAGTTTGCTCTATTCATCTGGGAGTTGTGATTATATCAATTAAGGACTATATAAAACAATGGATTAAACTACCAAATTTTGTTTACCTTCAACAAACAAAATTTGTAACGCCTACCATTGTCAAAGTCAACCATTGATTAGGCGAAATAAATAGCAACAACCATTATTATGGACAAATGAACTCGCATGCAAAGTGTCATTGCTAAAGTCAAAACTTAAAACACACAAACAAAACTGAATCAGCAACCAAAAAAGAAAATAGTAGCATGGTGGATAAGTAATAGATAACGAAAAACACATCATAGATGGATACAAATCGCACAACAAATCGATATTTTGGCGTGTTGTACTTGTTCTTGTCCTGATTGATCAGGCGAATCCTGGCCCGGTAATCTGTCTTTCCCTCTACACAATTTAAAAGAATATAACACTGTCACAAGAGGCATTGATAAAATAAAATAAAAAATTACAATTGAAAACACCTAACAGGGCAACAACAATGGTATACCTCTCCTTCTCTTGAATTTAACTTGGTACCGCTTGAAGTAAGCCCTTGACTTTTGAGATTTCACAAAAACCTGTAATGAATTAAGCAAATGTACAATCTTAGAAACCTCTTCCTATGACAAAAAGAAAGCACCTTTCAATAATTATTAAAAGAAATTGTCTAAACCCCACCAATCTAATCCAAGGAAACCTCATTTGTTTACAACTTTCCATAATTCATTGCTTGTTAATAAAAAATAAAAACTTTATGGATTTTCAAACCAAACAAGAAGTTGCGAACTTAGCTCAAAATGAATTTCGTAAGATCGCATAAAATTGGAGCACAAATTGAATTAAGAACATAGATGCAAACGCTACTCTCCACTCGAAACAGATCATAATTGACAACAACCGTACAGAAACGTTTTGTTTAGAAGAAGGAAAATTTAAGATAAGTACAGTAAAAGCAAACATAGATTCAGAAGCGAGCTCACTTCTTTTTTTTCCCTCAGCAACCAAACAGAAACTAAACTAAAAGACAATAAAATGCATATTTTTTGCAGCAAACGAGGTCTGATCTATGGTTCGAACACAAGTAACAGACGCGCACAAAAATGTGAACACCATTAGTAGAGATTGCTAAGACTTACCATGGTTGCTGCTCGATATGCTAGAGAGAGAGAGAAAGAGAGAGAGCGATGGCCAACGCAAAGAAGAGCTGCGAAAGGAGCTCAAATATCAAAACCCTAGTGGTGAGCCAAGGAGGCGACTGGAATGGACGGACACGATTGAATATGAGCAAGATGCGATGTTTAGGGTTTTGATCATAGATTCGAAGGATATATTAAACCGACTCATTGGGGTACATAGGAACGGTGCACCTATAGGCACATGTGACCGAGGGTACCATTTCACCGGGACGAAAATGTTTCTTGGGCTAATGGCCTGTTTAGTAAGATTTATTTTCAGTTTTTATTTTAATTTAAGTTATTTTGATATATTTTGTTCAATTTAATAATATAATTTATAACTTTTTGTAAGTCAAAAATCAACTTATTTTTTGAGTGTGGGAGGAGAATCTTAATTTATAAGTCAAAAATCAATTTATGTTCACAGCTATAAGCCATAAGCTATATGCTGTTAGGTTATAAATTATAATCACTTTCCCACAGTTCTACCAATCGGGCTTAATATTGGATACGAATAAAGCTTATGACCGAATTGATTGGATTTTCTTAATTTCAATTCTTCATCATATGGGGTTTAGTGAGAGATGGATCTAGCTGGTACATCAATGTGTGTCAACAGTCTCTTTTTCAATACTCCTAAATGGCCAATCATCAGAATTTTTCACTCCACGAGTTGGATTGAAGTAATGAGATCCTTTGTCGCCTTATTTATTTATAACAGCCATGCAAGCATTATCTGAGAGATTGGCTCATTTTGCTCAACAGGGTATTTATAAGGATATTGCTATATATAGGCATTCATCTCCATTTTACCACTTATTGTTTGCAGATGATTGTTTTTTATTTATACAATTTAAGGAAGAAGAAGTATCTTGTTTGGTTTGTATTTGATAAACATGTTTTGAGATAAAAAGTACGAAAATTTGTTTGGTTTGATTTTTTTTCAAAAGATGTTTTGAAAAATTATTTTGAGAGAAAAGTTTTGGAAAAAGTGATTGATTTGATGTGTACGAGAGAGAGATTTGTTTGGAAAATTTGTAAACCAAACAAGTTTTGGAAAAAAATTTTGAGAAAATTTGTTTGGTTTGATTACTCTTGAAAACTTATTTGTAGATAATTTTTTCTAAATTTTTTTGAGAAACACAAACCAAACAAGGCCGGTGTTTGCAATGGTTGTTAAATTTTTTTGTAAACAAACGGGCTTAAGGTTTAACATTAATAAGTCAGAGTTGTACCAAAGCCCCAATTTTGGTAATAGGGAGCGACACATGTTGGAGTCAAGTTTCCATTTTAAAGTGGTAATTAATCCTAGAGTCTATTTAGGGGTGTCCATGAATTGGTCAAGTAAGTTAAAAACATTGTTATTTAAGGCGTTGATCGATAAAGTTGCTGGGAAGTTGCAGGGGTGGAAATGTGGTTTGTTAAATTTTGCTGGTCGGTGTATTGTGGTCAAATATGTGTTACAAGCAGTCCCATTATATATCATGTCAGTCTTTAAAGTGCCTTGTAAAGTCACTCAAAAAATAACGGCTATAATTCGTCGTTTCTTATGGAAATCAGATAAAGCCTGAGGTCTGTGTTGGAAAAAATGGGATAGTTTGTGTGTAACTAAGATGGAGGAGGGCCTTGGCTTTAGAGATTTGGGCTGCTTCAACCAAGCATTATTAGCAAAACAAGCATGGTGGTTAATTTCTAATCCGACATCTTTGTTTGCTAAAGTGCTTCTAAGTAAATATAGTTTTTGTGATAATTTTCTTCAAGTCAGGGGGACTAAGATAGCGTCGTGGGGATGGAAAAGTATTCTTTGAGGTAGGGAGTTGTTAAAGGAAGGATTGATATGGAGGATTGGAAATGGGCAATCAATAAATCCTTTCGAGGATTCGTGGATTCTGGGTCAGGCGAACCCAGTAGGAGAAGTTGGGTTATCACAATATTTGCCTACAATGCGAATGAACCATTTTGATAAATTTTTTGAATAATTTTTAGCGCCGGAATTTAATTTAGTGGTTGTTTCCTGAAAGTGTGGTCCCGTCCATTTTAGGTATTCACATTCCCTTAGTCTCTTGCCCTGACAAGTTGGTGTGGATTCCAAACAAGAATGGTATGTATTCGGTTAAATTGGGTTACTGGGCTGCCATTAGGCGAAGATATGAAAGGTCTAATGAGGGCAATGTGGTCGATTCCTTTATTTGGAAAAAGTTGTGGAAGACTGAAATACCTTTGAAATGGATTTTATTTATTTGGAAGCCTCTTCATAATATTCTTTTGGTGAGTTGGCAACTTAAACGGCGAGGTATACATGTTGATACCACCTGTGTCAGGTGCGCGCAACTGAATGAGACAATAGAGCATGTTTTTTTTTAATGTCCTTGGTCCCAAAGAGTTAGGAGGGGTACAGTTTTGGGGCTGGACTTTACTTGTGGGAATCCTATTGATTTCTGAACATGGTGGGGGGGATGGGTTAGAAGTGTTCAAGAGGAAGACCTTATAATTCATTCTATTGCTGTTATGGGGGCAATATGGAGACCGTGCAATCCTTAAGGTGTTTGAACATAGGCAATTGACAATAGATCACACTTGGTTATTGAACTTATATGGCAATGGAACAATGGATGTGTAATAGTTGATAGTGACATATCTGAATGTGCTAAAGCAAAGATGTAGGTTTCTTTATCAAATAAATGTTGTGTTATTACTAATACTGCTACATCATCTGATAATTTTCAGCTCTTTACTTGTGTGGTGGATGGAGCATGGAAATAGAGCACCGAAGTAGCCAACCTGACATGGGTCAGTTTTGATGAAGCTCAAGTGCAGGTCTCACCAAGTGCTCTCTATCTGGTTGTCCTCTCCTTTATTAGCATAAGCTAGAACTTTTTTGGAGGCTATTAAGCCTTCGTTTGGCAATGACTTAGCTTTTTGATTTTTTTAGCCTGAGACTTTTTTGTTCATTTGGTATTCTTGATTGGCTTTTTTGACTTTTTAACTTTGAAATAGTGATTTTTTTTTTTTTAATCTTTTTGTGATTTTTTGATTTTTTGATTTTTTTTTATCCTTTTGTGCTTATTTAGCCCGAAAGGAAAACCAAATACCACCTAAATGGGTTGTCAAGATGAGGATTCAATGCTGCGCGGTATTTACAGATTGTCAGATATTGGTAGATAGTTTTGAGCAACAAAACAATCTAGATTGGGAGGTTGCTTTATATTTGGAAGTTCCCCCCCCCCAAAAAAAAATTATTCACAATTTCGGAATTTATTCGAAGTAATTATTATGAACATTTTTTAAAAACGAAAATTTATATAAGTAACTCTCAATTCAATTTTAGCTCTAGTCTCTATAATTTTAATTTTATAAATTTTGCCTTTTTATTTTTTATATTATATCAATTTAATTCAATTGATAATATTCATTACAAAAATTGACATACATTATATAAAATAGTTTATTTAAAAGATAATTATCATTTTAAATTAGATGTCAATCTTTCAATCACTTTGAAGAGAATAAATCAACCATTTACCTCTTAATTTCAGTTTAATTTTTAAAAAAATTATTAATTAGACTAAATTAACGCAATTTAATAACTTGCTTAAAAAAAGAAAAAAAGAAAAAATGGACACAATTTAAAAGCATATTTGATGCGTAGGGACCAAATTAACATAAGACACAAACTATGGGTATAATAGTTATTTTGACAGAAGGTCAAGGAAATAACTGTCCACAAAACAAATTTATTCACCAGTAAGTCACATAGAGCCTCAAACCAGCATATGGAATCACAAAGATTCATTTTTGTTTCACGGATTTGGTGAAGGAAAGTAAAATAAATTGCAAAGTAAATAATTTTATAATGTTTGGTTACCCATGAACAAAAAACAGAGGAAAATAAAATGCAATAAAACAATGAAAGAATTTTACATATGGATATTGAAATTATTTTGCCCTCTACATTTATTTTCAGGGAGGAGATAGGATAGTGAGACAAATAGTGGAGAGAAGCGACGGGGGTGGGGGGGGGGGATCTGGACATGTTCGTAAATTTTAAAATTTTATAAGGGTGTTTTTGTCATAAAAAATAGTTTAGTGTCAATACATTATAATCCATAAATCATAAGAATCTAAATGGTTATTTCCAAATAATACTTTTTATGCACATAACCCATACCACAAGTAAAATTTGCCCCTACTTTTATTTCAGTAGGTGAAAAACTATAGCAAAGAAGTTTTTCACTACCCATTCACTTTTCTTTTCCCTCGAGTCTGGAAAGAACACTCTTTTACCATTATAAATCTCTTACATAATTCAGGATACATTATCACTTGTCCCTTTATTACATTGGGAATAGCTTAACACAAAAACAGCACAAGCAATGTTAAAGCACATCCGAATACTTGCGCTATTCCATCAGAGAGCGAGAGAATAAAATTTCTTTTATTCACGCGAGCAGCAATTTTCATAGGGTAAATCCAATCTATACATGCAATGGCAGCATCAATTTCCATCTGAACTCTTACCTCCATACAGATTTCCGCCAATTTTCACGGTCTCCTCCAGTACGAACAACAAAAAGGTAACATGGACAAAATCAATTGCCAGCACTATCTCCCCATACACCGTCCCAAGCACCACCACTTGGAGCAGCATTGGGTCCTTCAATGTAGTTTTGGTTCCCATGGGGATTGTGCGAGCCAGGGGCTAAATTAGATCCGGGTGGCTGAACCTTTTTAGGCTTTGTTCTAATTCCCAGCAGTCTCAACACAAATCTAGCAAGCTCTCCATATAGTAATCCCGATCGATCCAACAGCTGCACATGATAACTCCATGAGTTATTTAATTAAACATACCTATCAGATTATAACGACCAGACTCGACAATTTCATCTTGCAAATAATCAAATGGGGACACAAGGAAATTAAAGCACCTGAAGAAGAGCAGTAATGAACATGTGGAATGCCTGTGTATTCTGGTCTATCAGTATTGCAACCCGGCCAAAGAAGGTTACCACACCTTCCAACTGCAATCATTGTTGAAAAAAAATAAATATACATTATGGCTAAGAGAAATGGCATCTGTCCCACAAGTTTGTTAGCTGATGGTTGTAGTATACCTTCAGGGAAGAATCTGTCTTAAAGAGGTATTTTGACAATAATTCTCAAACAATCAATCATATTCCTTCTACCCAAATGATAAATATGACTAAATAAAATAGAATAAAGATTGCCCAAAGGTATATTGGTTGATAATAGCCCAAATTAGGGTGGATAAATTAATGCAAATGATGAGTATTCCTCGGAATTATCAATCACATGCCCAACAAATTGCCTGGGTATTATATTCATATTAGAAGCAAATTCAATACCATAACAATAGCTGTCGAGAGCTGAAACTATGAGGAACAAACTTCACGATGACGAGAATGTATTAGACTATTAGTATGTCCAGTGTGATAACAAGTCATTATTGCATGTCCATATGAAGAAAGCACCTTTAGGCAGCAGCAACTGTTCTTGGGACCAATTGACCAAATTCTAAGCTCAATTCCCTCAATGCTTTCTGGAGGTGGTACCAGTGTACCACAGGTAATTTCATTAACTCATCAAAGAAAGTTTGTAAGCAAGTCATGGACTGCTAATTTGTCCTCATAGTAGAAAACCTAATCCACATCATGAGGAATGTGTATTTTTATTCCAACTATGACCCCTTTAGTAGTACTGAATGAACTTTCCTTTATCTTTCATATTAAATTAAAACATAATTCAGCAAAAGAAGATTCCTATCTTGACACCTGACACCTCTATAAGCAATTGTGATTGCCATCATGGAAGATACTTAGAACATCTGATCTTAGATATATAGCATATATCTATCACCTGTGTAGTTTTATCTAAAAAAACTTACCAGACCATCATGTTAATGTGCTAAAATATTATAAAGTTGATAAAAACGCATAGAGTCTAAACCAATGCGTTTTTATCAACTTTATAATATTTTAGCACATTAACATGATAACACCTTTTTCTCACGTCTCTCAAGTATATCAAAAGGACAAAAGCAAAAAAGGTTAATCTTGACTTACCACCCGCAGGAATGATATCCAAAACCCTGGTGGAGATGGCGGAGCACCAAATGGATTATTCGGATCTTGATTGCCATTAGGACCCCCCATGCCCATCCCATAACCACCCATTGGGCCTCCAAAACCACCATTGTACATACCCCCTCCGTACATGCCAGAACCTCCATAAAGCCCACCACCATAACCTCCTCGATACATGTTGTTTCCATACAACCCCCCTCCATAAGACCCTCCCAATCCACCATATGATGAGCCATACATTCCAGAACCATAACCAGAATTATAATTCAAACCGGAACCATAACCTGCATTTGGCATAGGCAAGCAGTAGGCTCCATTAGATGCCATGAAAAAGTAATGTGGCATTATAGTAAATGATTTCTACCAATACATGTAGTGTTGTCATCTTTGTTTTCTACCTAAATTTTAGTCAAACAGCCCCAAAAGACTTTAAAACACCTGCTTTTTATTTTTATTAATTTAATCACTAAAACTTTCACAAAGGAATGCCCATCAATATACTGCATGACTCCATATATACCATTTTTGCATGATCTACGATAAAAACCTTGAGGCCTTTTCATACTGTTTATTTTATACTATGATACAGATAATAGCCACCAAAAGAATAGGGCGGATACGTGTAGAGTGTCAAGACCCAAGAGGTGTGTCTGACAACAATTTGTAAGACAATGTGCAACATGCATTACATAACCAGAATTATAGAGCTTGACGTGGTAATTTGATCTAAACAGGCAAACTCCCACAAGACAAGCTGTAATCTATACATCACAAATTTGTAATAAACCTACTGTAAGATTATAGAAAATAAATACCTCCAATAGTACTGCCGTATGTCTGCTGTTCCCAGGGCCTAGTGGGTACAGGCCTACCAAGTGCATTATTACTTATAGTTGTATTCCTATCAGTTGTAGAAACAATTTCACCAGGTCTCGCTGTTCCAGAAGCCTCAACAACGTCACTTGTGCTACCTGGAGAGGGGGGCTTAAAGGGTGTTGGACCAGATGAGGATCCAGCTTGTTCCCAAGGTTTTGGAGGTGGGCTATTACCTGCAACATCAAAATCAATAGGAAGCAAAATAAAATTAGTCAGATTGCAACTTCATTTAAAATATTTATATATAGTCCATCATTGCAAACTAAATCAGTGACACATCAAGTACAAGAAATATAACATATTGTTTAATAGAGGGAGAGAACAATCCACACAAGCAGGTTCCCAAACTATGCTAAAAGAAACCGACCTGAGGGACATTACACAGCTTGATTCGTTTCTATAGTAACAAGGAATATCCAGCAACATTACAAAAGCTGAACCAGATCAGCCAGTTGAACCGGAAGACATGGATCAGCTTGTACCATTGAACAGCTAGTTGTTCAACCCATATTGCAATTGAATGGCAAGGCTTAACATTAGCACCATTATCTAACCAATGACATTTTAATTGAACCAAGCTTGGAACAAGCTTGAGATGTTTCCCATGTTTTACAGCCCTAAATGAGTATCCATCAAATCAGGTCACAGATAAATGATTTCAATTCCATCAAAACTTTCAAGTGTTTCTTCCTTGACTTCCTTCCAATAAAAATCATGAGGGTAAAAGTAAAGGAACTTTTATACTGCCCTCGGATAATTTTAAAAAATTTAAATTAAAAAAAAAAAAAAACTAGCTAGATTCATATAACAGCTCGACAATCACAACTATGCACCATCTAGTAACAGAATATAAAAAACATGTGTTCTTTTCCCAATAAAAATGTATGTGAAGCATGCTGTGAATTCATCCAGATAACTAGTAATGTGCAACTTCTTCCCATACCAAAAAAGAGCAACATCAATTGAGTTTGTCAAACGTGGAAGATTGTGCAATGGGTATCATCTTTATGTGCATAATACAATTATAGGTTCTGCTAACTACTGCCCATTGAGCCCTCGTTGAGGACCAATTAACACCAAAAAGTTATAGATTTTCAATACACGCTCACATATTCTCATCCACTTCTATATTTTCTATACAAATTTCAAATATATCAATACACTTTTTACGGACCAGTGGTAAGAATTTCAGCATAATTATAGCAACTGGGTCATAAACACACGCACAGTTGAGGGGAAAAAATAAAAAGTATAAATAATCTTGCATCTTAGGTTTCTCTTTAGGTGAAATCCAATATGCTTAAATTCGTTGCCAATCCAAAACATCTCAACCGTAACTATAACTACCAGTACAAAACTTCAATTTTTCTTTCCCTTTCCACAACTTTTCTCAGCAAACAAACGGAGGAAAATCATCAAGAAGCCTGAAAGCCCCAAACATGTCACGGATGACAATCAATAAATCCCGTTAAAAAATTAAACATTTGGTCCTAAATAATGCATCGAATCCCTAGTCAAATCAACTTCCAGATCAAAACCATAAAAGAATCAGAAAAATTGAAATCAGTATAACGGTGAAGATATAGAAGATATGAGAATCGGATTGAACTGTACTGACCTGAGGATTGAGGATTGGAAGCCATGGCGATGAAGAAATAGAGAAACGCGTCTCGACCCACACGAGGGCCACGAGGAAAATAGAGAGAACAATGGTCAAACTCCTCGGCCAGGTTTTTTATACTAGGGTCGTGGTAAATTCCAGGTTGGCAGGTAGGTATGTATGCATTATTTTGCATTTAAATTTTAAAATAAATTGATAATTACATTTTTTCGAATAATAATTTTAGACAAGTGCAAAAATAATAATAATAAAAAAAGAATTATTATAATTTTGATGTAACGCTTACTAGATTGACGTGGACATGTGATAAGATTGGAAAAAACAAAATTATGAATGAGTATATTCGCGAATAGATAGAAGCAGTACCAATAAAAAATAAGTTTAAAGATAATAGATTGAGATGGTTTCATTATATATCACGTAAACCAATAGAGGTAGTAATGAAGAGATGCGATACAGTAATTGTAGATAGTAGTGTTAGGAGGAGGGGCCGACTTAGATTGACGTGCTTAATTTAACTAATTAAATGGTCATTGATAGAGTCGAGTGAAAAAAAATAGGTCATATAGCCGATCCCATCTGATGGAACTTAATATTTGGTTTGGTCTACGAGATATGAAAGCATTATTGAAAACATAAAAATGTGATATATTTTATGTTATTTTATGAGTTAAATTAAGGTATTGTTACAAAAATCTAATTCAAATATTTTGCTAAGGGTCACAATTCATTATTGTTAGGTTTTTTTTCAAGGGAGATGGATCAATAAGTTTTATATTTTGGACTTCTAATTTATATGATCTCATATTTTTTCTTGTGATCCATTTAGTATTTCTAAATATGTTAATGACTCATTTGCCTGCCATATAAGAATGTCACATTTGGAAAAAGTACACTAAAGAATTTTTTAATGTCACATCATACCCCGTCAACATAGAGTATTACATTTGAAAAAAGTACACTAAAGAGTTTTTAATTTTTTTAGAATGTCACATCATATCTGCCACGTTGGAGAGTCACATATCATATTTAGAAAAAAGTACATTAAGGAGTTTTTAATTTTTTTTAGAGTGTCACATCATACCCATCACATTATCACATTTGAGAAAAGTACATTAAGATTTTTTTTTTGAAGTGTCACATCGTACCCGTCACGTTGTCACATTAGCGAAAAATATACTAAAGAGTTTTGTTTTTTTTTGAGTAAAAGTTTTGGAGTATCACATCATATCCATCGCGTTGTCACATTTAGAAAAAGTATATTAAAGAGTTTTTAATTTTTTTGGAGTGTCACATCGTTAGAGTGTCGCATTAATACCTGTCACTAAGAATTTTTTAACGTCACATCATACTTGTCTCAGTAGAGTGTTACATTTAAAAAAAGTATACTAAAGAGTTTTAAATTTTTATATCCGCCACGTTGGAGGGTTACGTCACGTTTAGAAAAAGTACATCAATGAGTTTTTAATTTTTTTTAGAGTGTAACATCATAGCCGTTGCGTTGTCACGTTTGAAAAAAGTACACTAAGTAATTTTTATTTTTTATTTTTAAAGTGTCACATCATACCCATCATGTTGTCACATTTAAAAAAAAATACACTAAAGAATTTTTATTTTTTTTGAGTAAAAGTTTTGGAGTGTCACGTCATACTCACCGCGTTGTCACATTTTAAGAAAAGTACACTAAAGAATTTTTTATTTTTTTTGTGTTACATCGTTGGAGTGTCACATTAATACCTGCTACATTAGAGTATCATATCATATCAGTCACATTAGTAAAAGGGTATAACTGTCCACCAAAACACTACCAAAATAAAAAATAGGATCATACGGAAAGAAACTCTTCACTAATAGGACTTAACAAATCAATAGAAAAAACTTTGGACTAATTAGTGTAACAATCCCGACATATGATTAACGTATAATCCATGATTAAGAATGCTAAGGTTTAAGAACGAGAACATGCGTTAATTGTGCATTTTGTATGTGTTTTGCATTCTTATCTGTTAATCGTAGGAATATCTGTTTAGAATTCTGCTTTGTTCTGTTAATTGAAGGCCTTATCAGCCACCGATCATGAGATTGACTAAGTTTATGTGTTATTTAAAATTTTTAGAATTTTCTGGTAAGTTTTATTAGAATTCGATTCGAAATCAAATAATTAGAATAAATTAACTATTAAGTTGAATCAACTTTACTCCAATCACAATTAATTAGCCTAAGCTAATTAAGCATAAAAATAGTCCACTTATAGTTGAGTAGACTCATTCCTACCATCATCTTGAGCAACAAAATGTGAGGGAGAGAGAGAATTGGAGTGAGTGCAACAAATTGAAGAAGACTTGAATGATTTGACTTAGAAACTCACACAATTAGCCAACTAGAGTTTAATTAAGCATCTAAGGTAAACAATCAAGCCTCTAGTCTTGTAATTTAATTGGTTAGTGCATGCATTCAAAGAAATTGGGCCATGAGATGCATGAATTGAACTAAAGAAGTAATAAAGAAAAACATCTCATGCATGAATACATAATTCTCATAATTTTGCAAGTTGATTCTCAAGAATTTTCACATGCATGTCCATATCTTGGTTTTGTTTAAGGAACCCAACATGTTTTTGACCTCAACATCTCATTTGCTCATGATTTGGAAACTTGGAGCTCAAATCACTCCATGCATGTCATATTCATCTTATGTTTTCACAATTCAAGTTTGAGTTTACTCAATTGACAAGTTTATGGGCCTTGATTTTATGAAATGATCTTTAATTCTCAATGTATTTCAAGTTTAGACATGTTTTCTTGAGTTTTGGCCCAAAAGAACAGGATTTATGGCTTTGAATTTGAGTTTTGATGCTTGAGAATGAATCTGGAAATTCCAGAATTTTGCTCTCCACTTGAGCGACATAATCTACGCTCGAGCGACCACTATGTGATCTTGCACTTCTGCTCAAGCGACCAGAAGTCCGCTCAAGCATGAAATGCAAGAGCCTAGAAGTTTCATGTTTTTGCAGACCGCTCGAGCGAGGACCTGAGTCTCACGCTCGAGCGACTGTCGAGTGAGCATCGAGCGGAAAAAGTTAGTAACCAGTACTTTTAGAGAGTTTACAAACCACTCGAGTGACAGAAGTTGCGCTCGAGCGACCACTCATACTTTGCATGTCCGCTCGAGCGAAGGAAGTTGCGCTCGAGCGAGACCCCTGTTTTTAGCAAGTTTTCTTAAATGTTTCAAGTGCATTTTTGCATGCTCATTTTATTATAGGCATTCCTAGGCCAAGATTAAGACACAGTAATGAGGATAAAAGTATAAACACACCAAGATAAGATAGTACTAAGTTAACAATTCAGAGTGTGTAATTTAGTACGTATTCGTTCTGTATCTGTGTAGGTCACGCACTGTGAGCTATTCAATCTGTCTGTTTCTGGAACTATCTGTGAGTAATAACTTTGTAAAGTTATGTTTAACTTTAATTATTTTCTGATGATATGAAATGATCAGTTTTATGAAATGCTATGTTTTATATGAATGAATGATTGTCCAAGTTTCTAAAATGTATTTGTAGCATCCTTAGCATTATATGATACGCGTCCCATTATGGGTCATCGGTATGCCTTTATGGCCGTCTCTTTATGGGTCATCGAAAACGTCTTTGTGCACATGAGTCTTCGGAATGCTTCTATGACCGCCCCTTTATGGGTCATTAGAAACGTCTCTGTGCACATGAAATTGCTTCCGTTTTGACATTTGATCATGTATAAGACTTTGTTTCTTTATGGACATCATTCCGTAAAATCTTTACTTTGTTATTATTCATTGGGTTTCTGCTTACTATGTATCATTTATGTATAGGTGAGCAAGTGCGTGACCAGGCCTAAACTGTTTCCTGTGGAGTTGGGTCAGCTAGCCAACACGCCTTCTGTGGAGGTTCCTTTTGAGATCCGATCAAGTTTTTGAGTCTCTGGGACTTTTGTATTTTGTGATGTTTATGTTTTATCTTAACATATTTTGGAAGTTCTGTATATGTGGCTTTGGTGACGTATGACTAATATATTTATATAACATCACTCCGATATATTGAAGTTTAAGCTTTTGTTCCGTGTATGTTTGTGCAGCTCTATGGACTATGATTATTTCTATATTTGCTTCTGTAGCCCCATATCATATGTTTTTCATGCCAGAGGCCTTTGGTAATTATAGGGTTACTGGCCGGTTACAACGCTAAACCTACATGGGTGGGTTTGGGTTGTGACAATTAGAGTATTTGTTTGTGAGATGGGATTTATTGGTAAATATCCTTTTTTTTAATAACTTTAATTTAAATAATTACTAGGCACACCAAATTCAGTTAATAAGCATTGTTTCAATTCAAGGCCAAATATATATATATATATATATATATTATTGTAATAATATGTTGAATTAAGGAAATGGCCTTGATATTTAAAAATTATTTTAAATTCATATTTAGAACTATTAAAATAAATTTAATGTCATTTTAAATTTAAAATGACACATATTATCACAAATCTCAAGTTGCCCGATTATATGTTTGTTATCCCAGATAAGCAACCCAAGAGGGGGGGTTGAATTGTGTTATTAAAAATTTTATAATATTAAAAACACAATATTTAGAATTTTAACAAATAAAAAATAGAACAATAATTATCAATATAAAAGTAAGAAAGATAGGGAGAGAAAATAAACACCGAGATTTATAGTGGTTTGGCACGCCGGGCCTACGTCCACTCCCCAAGGAACCTCTTTGAGAATTTCTTTACTATCAAAATGAATCGATACACCACCAAGGCTTCACCAAGCTTGTAGATTTTCCACAAGTCTTACTTTTATCTATTGAGTCTCACTCAACAATAAATGCCTTACTCTTACAAAAATCTCTCACGAAATAATGACTAAAAATAAGAGGTACTTTAACCCTATTTTACAATATTTTTCTCACAAAGAGTAGATATGAAAGTGTAAGAACAAAGACTACACTTAGATCTGAAGGTGAAAGAGCATAATACAATACACTCAAAATTTTGGAGTACACAGATTTTTTCTCTTCATGTTCTTAATTTTTCTCCACACATAACACTTCTATTTATACCCAAAAATATGCCTGTTGGAGGTAGGATGGTCTTTGCTGACGTC